AATCAACCAATAACAAATGCTGGCAGGGCTGTGGAGAAATAGGAACCCTTCTCCACTGTTGGTGGGAATGCAGACTGGTGAAACCACTGTGGAAATCAGTTTGGAGATTCCTCAGAAAACTAGGTCTAGAGGTCCCATTCAACTGTGCTCTTCCTCTTCTGAGTATTTTCCCAGAAGATCTAAAAACATCATATCACAGTGATACATGTGCACCTATGTTCATAGCTGCACAATTCGTAATTGCTGAATTATGGAAGCAACCCAGATGTCCATCCACTGAGGACTGGATGAGAAAATTGTGGTCCTTTTATATAATGGAATATTACACAGCTATAAAGAAAGATAAACTCGAGGCCTTTATAGGTAAATGGTCACAACTAGAGACCATACTCATAAGCGAAATAAATCAGACACGCATGTGCAAGCACCGCATTATTTCACTAGTGTAAAACCTGAAAGAGTTAATTTAAACTAGGAGGTGTGATAGACAATGTGAAATGAAAGGAAAACACTCAAGGGTAAGGGGCAAGTGGGATGTGGGAAAAGAGAAGAGAAAGAAGAAATTTTGTATGTATGTATATACAGGATAGTTAATATAGTTGTTCTACTGTCTTCTATTTCTTTGCTGAAAGAAACTGTCAGTGAGTCCTTGATTGATCAATATTGCATGTCTGTGTCTGTTTTCATGAGAAACCACTTTGAAGATATCAATATGTAATACAAGTATTGTTAATTTCCTACCACTTTGTTTGTAACTCTTTATTGTCTGTACTGTTCTTTTGCTATTTTGTAAAATGTTGTCTGTCCGTTAAAGTTTTCCTCCTTTTATTTTTAAAATAAAAAAAAAGTCAAATGGCTAGGTTTAAAGTTATATAGACTGCTAGAACAGCTCACCTGAAATTGGAAATTGAACTAGTTGTTAGGAATTCTTTCAGCAGAATTTCTTTCCATACCCTCCACTGCAAACCAAAACAACTGCATCACATCATTTCTGGGTTATTTTCCTCATCTTGAAAAGAAAATTCGTAAGTTGAGTTAGATGTCTTTTCAAAGGGTATAAATGTAGGCAATGCATGAAATTATTTTGAGTTACTATAGACTTAATATTACATCCAGACATAGTCACAGTTCAAGTTGCATTCATCTATAACTACTAGGCTTGATTTTGCATTTGCTCTTACAAGATCCCACGCTACTGAAAATTACTCAGATATAGAAGTGATCCCGATAATGGACTGCGCCGCTCGCATCCGAAACTGTAATGGAACTTTGTGATCTTGCAGTGGGAAACCTGAAATTACTGGCATTGTATAAAGAGGGCTTTACCATGGAAATGGGTCTGCATAAGCAGTGTCATCTGTGGGCTCTTTGAACTGTGGCGTAAAAACAAAACAAGTAACTATTTATGGGTCTACACCTGCAGAATCCAGTTAACTGCAAACCTTTCAGGCGTCCACCTCCTTTTAATCCTGCATTCCTACTCGGAGATGGGGAACAATAGCACTTGTATCTCTGCACACCCTGCCTCCCTTGAAATAGTTTGTGTTTGAAATTTGGAAGAAGCTCGGTTTTAACCAGAAGTTGTCCAACAAATTATACCTGGAGTACTTTAAAATTTATAGTTAACTTTTAAAGTCAGAGGTGTCACATTCTGGTCATGATTTCATGGTAAATCCTGTTGAAGTGTTTTGGAAAACTGCATGAAGAAAATAATTGTGGATAAAGTTCTTACTCATTTTTTTAAAAATTCTGATTCCCTTCTCTCTGCTTCTAACCATGACTACAGCCTTGTCAATGTAAATCAACTCATATGAAAGTAATTCTCCTCAGTGAAACTGGGAAAGATGAGAAAAAGAAAACAATCTGGTGCTGATAAGAGTGTGGGGGAGTGGCCACTGTGGAAATCTAGCAGGGAGGGCTAGAAATGGTTCCAACCTTTTAAGCAATTAACTGAATAATGTATACCAGGAACCTTAAATTAAATCATACTATTCATTTGAACCAGGAATTCTAGAAATTATTCTATGAGAATATAGGTGCACATAGATTTTTATACAGACTGTTAGATATAACAAAATCAAGAGCAACAAATATTTTGTTATGCAGCTGTATTAATGAATCAATTCTTGTCTTTTTGAGAAAGGGTCTCGTTATGTAGTTCAGGCTGGCCGTAAGCTCACTTTGTAGTCCAGGCTGGTCTCGAACTTGCAACGATCCTCCTGCCTCAACCTCCAGACTGCTGGGATTACAGGTGTGTGCCACCACACCTGGCTTGCAGCTGTATTTATGTACACACAAACATTTAAAGTTATGGTTTTGAAAGACATTCTACAGTACAGGAAAACACTGACTATAGGAGAAGAAAAAGAACGGGACAGAAACTTTCAGATGCCATATGTGAAAAAGACGTCAGCAAAACTAATTGTCATTGATTGTGCTATTAGAAGTTATTTTTTGCATAGTTTTCTGCTTCTCACACTTGTCAGAAGTTAGATCTATGCTTTTAGGAAGTAATACTTTTTTTTGGTTTGTGATTTTTTTTGAGACAGGGTCTTGCTAAGTAGTTCAGGCTGGCCTTGAACCTATGGCAATCCTGCTGCCTCAGCCTCTCCCCAAGTGTTGGGATTACTGGTATATGCCACTGCGCCCAGAATGGAAAGGCACTCTTTGTAAAACAAATTTTGAATGCAATCTGTAGTTGCCAGATAATACTTTTTTTATTTGACTTATATCTAGTATAAATCATTTTAATTTCCACTTGTTTTTGTAATCTGCTTTTTAGAAAGGAGTATGTCAGTAACATTCCCTCCAGGATATAGTATTTTTATATCATCTTCTTTTGCAATAGGCAATTTTCATGAACATGCCATAATTAAATATTCTCTTGTTATGGGATATTGGTTAAGTTGTTTCAGGCTTTTGCTTTTGCATACCTTGAGCCAGGTAAAAGTTTGCACAGATTTGTCCTTACTGTACTAGAATTACCTCATGTAGATGGGATGGTGTTTGGTCAAGGCCTCTTTGCGCCTCCTGAAACTTCTTTTGAATATTGTCCTCTCTCCTGGCCATTGCACTGGTTGTCTTTGCATGCTTAGCAATGACTAATTGGCTGACTGTATTTATGAATCATTTACCTGTGTACAGAGTTGTTAAATTAGAATTACTCAGCTGTGAAGCCTGTTTTATAAAATCCATGATCTGTAAATGGCCTTTGCATTATTAAAAGGCTGCATAAAAGGAAAAAAAAAAACAAAAGAGCATGTGTGACAAGAGACCACGTACAACCTGAAAAACCTTTAAGATTCACAGGCAAGGTTCGCTGGACCCCGAATTAGAGACAGAAGAAATGGCTCATTTTCCTGGTCCTTGACTTGTCGTATTTTCTGTATGATTTCATATTCAATTTTAAATTATCTTTTCTGAAGAATGTAACATTGTGATGCTGTGATTTTTGGTGTTGTTGTTGGTACCAGGAATCAAATCCTGTGACGTTTTTACAATATAAGCTGTTTTAATCTTTTTAAATGTAACTTTTAAAAGTATTGCTACTAAAAAATTTAAAAGGTACAATTTCACAAGAAAATTAAAATGTGGTCAATGTTTTGATATATTGAAAATACAGAAAGTCCAGAGTCTAAGTTATTATAATCTTAATATACACTGCCTTGTTTTGGTTATAGATGTATAAGAAAAGATCTCTTAGATTTCTTTATGTATTAAATTACATGTAACCATTTTCTACTCTGGCCCCTATAAATGTACTATAATTCTGTATTGTGTTTATGTTATTTCTGGGTATAATACACAGAAAGTTTTGCTGAATCCTTACTATGTACCCGATACTGCGAGATAGGGGTGAATTTGGTGCCTGACTCCTACACTGACTCCGTATCTCCCAATTGGCAACTTTCTCACTTCTCTGAATCTCAGTTTCCTCATGTGCAAAATGGATAGAATAATATCACCCTCTTCACAGGGCTATGGTGAGGACCCAAGAAGATTATCCACTAATGTGTAACCTGGTTTCTAATGCAAAGTAGTAGTTTCTTGAAGATTGAACCAATTTGATGCATGCATAGATAACTAGAATCCACACATTCAAGTCCCAGCTCTGCTACCGAACAATAATAATTAAGTTACTCAGTTATTCTGGGCCTCAGGTTATGTGGAAATAGTGCAGTAGTAGTTCCTGTAATGGTTTGGGAATATTAAATAAGCATATGTAGGTAAAATTCTTCGGACAGTTTCTGGTACGTAAGTGCTCAATAACTATTGGCTGTTAATTTTTATCGCTTCAATTATTTCTGTAGTTGTGTCCCTCATTATATATAGTATCTGTACTTTTAGAACTTTATAGGGATCTCAGAAATGCAGATGTGTGTTATGGAGAATATTACTATTTTTATGTTATTTCATTAACCTGAGCTGTACAAAAGTTGGTCTTCATGGTGCCTTCCTTTAGAACACATTATAGTGACTTTATTTTTTTTTAAAGTTACTTTAATTTTGACATGCCAAACTTTTATAGCTACCTGCACAAACACAGTGTTGAGGTCTCAGAGCACCTGGATCGGTTTCTGAGCACCAGTGGCTAAGCTGAAGGAAACCTCATGGACATTTTATTGCATTGGCACCCCTGAACCCCCATATTCCCGAATTCCTTTCTTGCTTGTAGAAGCAGCTCTTCATCCTTACGAGTGTGATGAAAACACACCTGTCATGTTGGGAGACTTGACTAATTTGAATACTCTGAAATAAGCCAGCTCTTGGAGTTAATGTATGCATGTGCATGTGCGCAGAGATACCTCTGTGGTATAAATAGGTCACAGCAAGTGACAGCTCAACTGTATTGGAACAGTAGTTCATGTTCGCGGTCAGTTCTGCGATATGTGGAAATCAGGGATCAGAACTGGTGTTTGAATTTTTAATTAAAATAATCTACCACGTCCATATTTTAAGGAAAATGGAAAAAAACGCCTAATGTTAATCTTTACTTTCAGGGAATATGGAGCCATTGATGATGTCGATATTGATCTGCATATCGATGTGAGCTTTCTTGATGTAAGTATCAATTTCTGTACTAGAACTGGTGCATTTAAAGTACAGCTATTTTTGGTTGTCTCACTAATAGTATCACACTGACAAACTGACTGATGGAGAAATACTATCCCTAGTTAAAGAAGGAGAGATTATATATAAACATATTTTGGGTACTGATTCTTTTAATATATTCTGAAATTTATGGGGTTTTTTGTTTGTTTGTTGCTTTTTGTGTTGTTTTGTATTTGAGACAGGGTTTTGCTATGTAGTTCAGGCTGGTCTTGAACTCACTGTAGGCCCAGGCTGGCCTTTACTTGCAGTGATTCTCCTGCCTCAGCCTCCTGAGTGCTGGGATTATGGGCATGTTGCCCCATGCGCAGCTCTGATTTTTATTATAGTAATTTATTGTACGTTTTTTTATTTTTTATACATACAAGCAAAAATTAAGAATACTTTGGCCTTTCACACTACAGTGGGTTTTGAAATAATGTGTAGGCCTTCATAATTTACCCATTCCTTTAACACGAGTTTTCAATTTTTTTTTTTTTTTTGTTTTGAACTCTAAAAGATGACTAACTGAGCTTTTAAACATTTCTGTGCAGGAGGAGATTGCTGTGGCTTGGGAAGTAATTCGAACAGAACCTATAATAGTCCGACTCCACTGTTCACTCACACAATATTTGAACGGCCCAGGTTAGTTTTATTTCTCTGTGTTTAATATTAGTTAGCTGTGCACTGTGCTTTCAGCAGAATGCATATTTTAAGTGTGAAGTATCTACCTCTGCACCCCTTGCTGCCAGCAGCTCACATTTTCATTAGATTCCTCTCACACTCGAGCGCTTTCTCTTCCCTGGGAAGAGCAGACACGCACTCGGGAGGTCTTGGCCTCCTCCCTCCTCTCTGCTGTGGGAGTAGAGTGGCTCGGCCATTTTGTGTCAGGGTTGGACGAACTTTGAGGTCTACTTTATGTCTCAGTGTTACCGACAGGATAGGTAACAGAAGCTGGGTCCTGACCAGAATTTGTACATTGGATTGGGCTGCTTCCCTTTTCCTGTCATTGTGCCCCACTCCTCATGTCCCTTTTCTGTTTCTCCATGACAGCAGTTCTTAGGAACGTGTTTGTCAGGGTCTGCTTGTGAGAGGACCTGTCCAGAGGTGGTGGGCCAGAGATGAACCGGGGTTCACATCAGCGGGTGGAGGAGGCCCTCACAGACGTGCCCTTTGCACCCTGCGCTGCTGGTGTCCCAGAAAACTGCCCTGGAGCATACTTTGTTTCATTTGCCTCCTTATTTTGAGATGATTTTTTTGTTCACTTCTTTCATAGTGTGGGAATTTTAGGACTAGCTATTGGAAGACTTGTTCCACCTATTCTACTTATAGCAAAATTTGCTGGAAATTTGTTAGGTAGGGGTAGTATTATCTCTTGATTTTGGTTTCTATGGCTGGTTTTTTCCTGCTTTTATAATGTACTGGTTAAATTGAGGCTTATTGAACAGTATTTACTCACATTGCTATCTTAATACGTTTCCCAAAAGGCTTTTGTTGTTGTTGTTATTGAGAAATTGAGGAAAAGTATGATTTAAAATAGACATTAATTGTGTAATATATGAGTAGAACTAGAAGCGGTCTTACTGAAGAGGAACATGTAATTTATATGCTAGGAGAAATAATTAGGTTTTATCTTAGTTTTTAATTTCAGTTATTCCAGATGAATGAAAAGGCGAGAAACTACTTCTTTCATAATGTTTTGCAATGAGTCTTTGAAGGTACCAGATTTATAGCAAAATGAACTTGCAGAAAGTATGTGACTAATACACGATTTACACTGACCTACTTAGCAGTTCTTTTAGAAAAGCATTTATTCCTGTGGTTGGGAAATGTGGGAATACCACTTCCTTTACGCTACAATATTTGAATCTGACCATGTTATCCATGAGTGGACAGGAATGATAAGAATTGAAGAAATGCATCTTTATATCCACTTTGGAATTAAAGATAAGAGTTATCTTCATTGTATGTGGGGAAATATACTTTAAACAGATATGTGGTATCATTTGTTTCCATTCTTACGATAGTATATTTTTCAGAGTGGCTAATACCAGTCCAGTCTTTGATGTAAAGGTCAGGCCTGTTTTAGCTGACAGCAGTAGACAACCAACGTTATGTGAGAAGTTTTTTTGTGCAAATTGCCTCGTGATTGGTGTCTTCTATGTTTACACTCATGGGAGCAGCTGCAGAATAATTTCCTAACAGTGGGCAGCCTTCCTTTCCCCACTGAAATTACATGGGAGATAAGGAAAAATTGATTAACTTTCACCTTTTTAAAAATGTGAAAATATTTCTAATACACTGTCAAGTTCTTCTTCATTTCTTTACACCCAAAATGAACCCTGTGATGAATTTAGTTGTAGCTGAGGTAAACTTGTGAGTGAACTTTGGAAGAAGAGGCATTTCCAAAGTGACTCTGCTTATTTTTCCTGTAAAAGAATATCTGCTGTAGTTTCTAGTTTTTATTAGCACAATGCTGTGGTTTTTAAAATTTTTATTTGGCTTGTGTTACTGTGTTTAGATGAGTTTGCTCCTGCGTGCTTGTTTGCTTAATCAAATTTTTATTGTCCAGTTTATTTTCTGACTAGTTATTACTGGGTTTCAGAAAGCATTTCATTTTTAATTGTTAAAAATTAATTGAAAATATTTGTAGATTTGCAGAAAAATTGCAGCACTCCATGCTGTTGCCTTCATTATTAATAGGTCACTACCTTAAATATAACTAGAGTTAATTACATTAACCTGCCTTTTATCATTTGAACTTTGGAATACTTTGATTTATTTATTTTTGGTACCATGAATCGAACTCAAAACCTTGTGCTTACCAGGCAGACGCTTATGCTGTTGAGCTATATGCCCAGCCCTGGAATTCTTTTAAAAGAAGCATTTTGTGAGCTCTTTCAATATATTCAAAGGTCATGTAGATTTTATAACTATTAACTGGGTCAATGTTTGTAATTTATATTTTTCTGGGAAATTTTGTCATTTTGATAAAATATTGACCCTTGTTAGTCGTGCATCTTTTGATTCAGTTCCTCAGGTTGTATTTTTATTTCGCAGCATTTATGGATATTCTGGATAGAGATCTGTGTCTGCTACTATCCCTTTCCTCCTCACACACGATCTTCTCCAGTGGAACTTGTAGTTCTGGTTGGACGGGTCAGATCTTTTCCTCCTATTTGAAGTGAGCCGGGTTCCTGTATCTGGTGTCTTTTCTTCCCAGGCACTTTTTCTTTTTGCCTGTGAAAAGATTGTGTCCTAAATCTTCTTCGAAGGAGTATGCTGTATTCTCATTTTGTTATCTTTTTCTTGGAAGAAAAATTTCCCCTGAATGTTCGGGATGTTGGAGTTTCTTATTCACTTTTAAATTCCCACCCCCGGCTCCAGTGCAGGCGCCCGCACCCCCACTTCGCCTTGCTGTGCTGTTTCTCCCAGGGCCAGATGCTGCCCTGCTCTAGCCCGTTGTCCCCCTTGCTTTTACTCCAGCCCGAACACGGCTGTTTTAGCTATGGATTATTTTGAAGGTTATTGCTTGTGATAGCACTTGTTTTTTGTGGTACCTGGGCATTGATCCCAGGGCCTTTGCACTGAGCTACCTCCCCAGCCTTTTTGCACATTTTTTATTGTGAGACAGGCTCCAGGTAAGTTGCTAGGCTGTCCAGGCGGAGCTTGACCTTGGGATCCTCCTGCCTCCGGCTCAGAGCGCGGGGATATAGGTGTGCGTCCCTGTGCCCACGTCACTGTGCACATTATGCGGCAGCACCTACAGATTTACTTAGATGTTTCGTGGCCGCTGCTGGTCCTGCATGTGCATTTTATGTGTATCCAGCTGTGAACAGCAGTGAGAACTGTGCGCGCTGCCCTCCCGTGTACTTGTGTTCTGCTCCTTCAGACTTTTCCTGTGGGTGGTTGAGTTTCGTGTCAGTGTTGGAGTGATTTTTTTTGTTTTTTTTTTCCTTTCCAGTGCCCACTGTTGATGTCTTTCAGATTTCCACAAAAGAGCGATTTGGACTGGGACATCAGCTGAAAAAGTAAGTTTGCTGAAGAGTAAAACAATGCATTTCTAGTCAAGAGAACCGGGTCCTCATTTTGCTCATTTCCTCCCATTTGTGTTCACTGAGATGCTTTTGAGGTGAGTGCCTGAGGAGAAGAAATCCTCCCGACTGGAAGAACTGCGTCCCTCCTTTGCTTTGTAGCACTTGCTGTCGCTGGGGCTGGGACCTTCATTTTCCAGCGCAGAGCTGTCCTCGCCCCTCCAGCAGCCTGTGCTCTGAGGAAGGCCAGCCCGCATGGATACAGGGGCGGTGTCTCGGGTGAGACCAGCAGAGGGGTGGGAGAGTGAGACGGGTGTGCCGGTTCCGCTTGTGGCCCTCCTCCCTCTGCACTCCCCGCTGCTCAGGCTGCAGTCTCTGGGCGCCATTCCCGACCAGCTTCTATTGATGGTTCTTAGTGCTTCATGCTGGAACTGAGAACAGAGTTGCAGTCACTGGGCCTTGGACTGCTGTCCTACTCCTGTTTCTCATTCCTACACCGTTGAAACATTTCTTTTGTAAGTGAACTCTTTATTTCCTGTTTGAGGGATATGTGACTCAGTTTACCTGAGCTAAATCCCCAGCCCCATTTCTTTTGTAAGTGAACTCTTTATTTCCTGTTTGAGGGATATGTGACTCAGTTTACCTTTGATAAGTGGATGTGGTCCGTCAAGGATATAGTGTGTGTATATAGTTAATTAGAATAGGCAGATACTTTCTTCAGTGTGTCATTATTGGCCAGTATGAGCTCCCATTTATGCAGTCACTTGGGTTCTCGTGCACTTTGGTAATTTTAGTGACCTAAGTAGAAATTTTATTATATGTTTTGAGTAGCAAGAAAAGGTGAAGACTGGGTCAGGCACGGTGGTGTGCACCTGTAATGCCAGCAGTTGGGAGGTTGCGGCGGGAGGACTGCTGTGAGTTTGAGGCCAGCTTGGGTTACATAGTGAGACCTTGTCTTAAAAACATCCAAAAAAAAGAAAGAAAAGATAAGAAGAAGACCTTGTGTATTGCTTCAAAATCTCCCAGAGGCTTATTGATAATTTTTTCACTGGTCAACTCCATTTTTTTTTTTTTTTTTTTAGTTTTAAAGACTATTTTCTATAAAAACTTGCTTTTGAAAAGTGGAAAATGAAAACATTGATTGAGCCAATACAAAGGCAGCAGAAAAAGCAGTCTTAGAGGAGAAAAAGCATACTGCTATATTATAGACATAAAAATTGACTTTGAACTTTCACTAAAATCAAATGATCACATGTCTGAGGGAAGGCACAGGCCTTGGGGGTCCATCAGCCTGTGCTTGGGTGTCCATCAGCCTGTGCTTTGGTGCAGGTCCAGGGTACTTACTTTGACTTTCCCTGCGGGAAATAATGACACTGCCCACCTTCCCCCTGCACCACCACGGGGACAGACAGAGGGTCTAGGTGAACCTGAGCCTTTCTCAGAGCAGATGGAATTACTTGAATTGAGGTCAATTTTATTTTATTCATTAAGTTTTAATTTTCAAAAAGTTGATTGGTAATATTTATTGTATACAACATGTCTTAAAGTATATATACATTGGGAGATGGTTAAATATGTATCTAGTTCACAAGTGGATTTGCAATTTTTTTGTGTGCTTTGGAGACAGGGTCTCACTGTGCAGTTCAAGCTGGCTTTGAGCTCATTTGTAGCCCAGGCTCGTCTTGAACTAGCAACCATCCTCCTCCCTCAGCCTCCTGAGTGCTGGGACTACAGGCGTGTGCCACCATGCCCAGCTGGATTTGCAATTTTAAAAAAAACTTTTTAAAATTAAACTTAGTTCTTTATGGATACACACAACACAAGAATATACATATTAATATACATGTTGCATAAGATAATACATAAAACATGCATGTTGATGTATATAAAATAAACATATTAATGTGATGTTTCTAGAAATTGTATAAATTTTAAATCACATTAAACATATCTTTCTCCTCAAACATCTATGGTTTCTTTAAGGTGAATACATTCAAAATCCCCTGTTCTAGTTTTGTGAAACACATGGTACATAGTGGTTATCTGCAGTCACACTGGAACCTCTTGAGTATACCGGATTGGAACTGAACACTTATTTACTAAACCTTCCTAGCTCCCCATGACCGCCCAGCCTCCAATAACCTCTATTCTCCTCAACTTTTACGAGGTCAGCTTTCTCAGATTCCCTATACAGGTTGAGTCATGCTGTGCTTATCTTTTTATGCCTGTCTTATTTCACTAACTGCAATAATACATTCTTTTTTTTTTTTTTTAACTTGGGAATCGAACTGATGACCTCGCACTTGCCAAGCAGGCATTTGTGCCACTGGGCTATATCCCTAGGCCAACTATAATGTTATGAAGCCTCATCTATAATGTTGCAAATTGCAGGCTTTTATTCTTTTTTATGACAGTATGGTATTTGTCCAGACACATGTACCCCTTTTCTTCATGCATTTGTCATCTGATGGCACATACAGTTTCCATCTCTGGGTCATTGTGGATAGTGCTATAATAACCATGCTAGTACAGATGTCTTGTCAGTGTGCTGATTTCACCTCCTTGGCATAAACACCCAGTAGTGAGTTTACAAGATTATATGGACTTTTTAAAAAAAATTGTTTGGGGAATCTCCATCATGTTTCTTTTCCTTTCTACCTCACTGCCTTTCTTTCTCAAGTGGGTAAATTTAACTTAAATTTGTAAAGAAAGACCACAGGACAACTGCACACTGAAACACATTGTTTAGATTGTTCATCAGGATGCGTTGTACATGCTCGCTTTTATTTTTATCAGTTTTCATTTGGTATTATACACTGGCTTTTATTGAGCAATACTCTTAAGAGTAAACACTTTGAAACTGTTTACTTTGCCATACAGGGACTTTTTGCCTAATACAGGAAGTCTTGTGTAATGTCTAGGGTTATCCCCATTGCAGAGCTCTAGATTTGCCTCCAGTTTTTATGATTTTGCATTGAGGCAGCATTACTCAATTATAAGTTGTACATCTGCATTTGAAAATCAGGAAGGAATGTTCTTCTAAATCCCCAGTGTTGAGTTTAAATATGTCCAAATGTAGAATCAGACAATAAATGCTTAATGTTTAGAGTTTTGTGTCTCTAACCTAAATTCAACTTGCAGCATATGTTTAGCATGTTTTATTATATAATGCTCTTTTGTAAGCACTCACCAGAGACATCATCTCAGTTTTCTGTTCCAGGATTAGGTATGCTTCTCCAGTGCAGTTGAATTTTGTTTCCTGGGTAGAATCCATATCTTGCAGGTCCTGGGGAGAAGCATGGGACCTGCATCTTCTTTATGCTCCCCAAATTGGTGCCACCTCCTTTGGTACAAATTTGCGATTGCCTATTCAATTTCTTCCTTAAGAACTTTCTTTATAAAGTGGGATGGGGTTGAGAAAAACAACACAAGAATATGAAAGCACTAGAGATACATAGCTCTGTACCTTTAGTGGCTTCTGAATACATTGTGTGGGTTCAGAAAAAGAAATGGTGGATATAATTCGAACCACGAGAAATCGCAGAAATCTATGGACTATGTTCACTATTTAAAAACTTAGTAGAACGTATCACGTTTTATTAATACTTGCTTCCAGATAATCTTCTTGAAAAATGACTTTTATGGATAAATTTTAGCTAGGTAGGAAATTTGTTAATATGGAATAGAGTTTTTTTTCATGATCCTTGATAAATTTTAGTCTGATATGTATGTTTCCTTAGTTATGAATGACTGGGTTTTGTTGTAATCCTTAGTTGACAATTACATAACATTTAAACATTTAATTGTGTCTTCACAATTATTCCTTCACAGTTACTTCACAGTTATCCCCAATTGTGTCTTCACAAAAAGAGTCTCAATTTTTTGTTTCTTTGTTTGTTTTTTGTTTTTTTTTTCCGGTACTGGAAATCGAACTCACGACTTTGCGCTTGCCAGGCAGGCGCTGTGCCACTGAGCTAAATCCCCAGCCCCAAGAATCTCAAATATTAAGAGATTGTTTTTCCAGAAATGTACTAGAAGGAAGGCAAGTTTAAATCTTTGTAACTGTTTAGGTCTACTCTCAGGAAATAAGAGACCCTCATGAAGTGTTTCTCTCATTTCTTTTTCTTGTCTTTTGGACAGCGTGACAAAGTCTTACCAGTAGCAGCAGCAGCAGCAGCAGCAGCAGCAAATACTTTGGCAGTTTTATTATATGTCAGCCAGTCCTCCAGATACTTGTCATACATTACGTTTTTCAGTCTTCACCGCAACCCAATGAAGCATAAGCCGTGTCCCTGTTATATTTCCTTGATGAGAAAATGGAGGACTTGGGAGGTTCACAGATTTAAGGCCACACTGTGAGAAAGTGATAGAGGTAGAATGTACTCCAGATGGATACTGGTGTCGCATACACTAATCTCACAGAAATCTAGCTGTCCCATTGTCTCATGTAAGTTAAGGAGTAAGTCTGTGGCATTTAGTTAATACTGGGAGAACGTGAAATTAACAAAAAAGCCCCAGAGGGAAAATACGCACTTTTTCATGGTTGATAGGACACAGTGGCACAGCGATTGGTCTTGTATGGGGTGACTGTCTTTAAAGAGAAGAGCATGTAAGGGACGGTGAAGATGACCTTAAACTTTGTATGACATTCTCCACTGAGCAAAGTTAAATTGTATTTACGAGGGAAATGACTGTAAATCTTGCTTCACTTCAGAAATGTACAAAATAAAATCAGGTACAAAGTCTTCATGTGTTGAGTCCCACATGTATAAAGCCAAATCCAATGTACGATTTAAGAGCAAGTCAAAATAAAACACTAAAAATGTAAATGAATGCCATTAATTCAGCTTGATGGGTAATATTACTTTGCTGAAGTTCAATCCTACAGTCTAATACTATCTAGAGCATAGTTTTGTTTTGTTTTGTCTTTTAAATCAGCTTGAAGAAAATGGTGTGTTACCTGTATGGACTCTTTTTGGCTGTGTGCGGTGCCCATGAACCGCTATCACACAGCTGGCTGCAGCAGCACCTGCTCTTCACCCAGTGCAGGTGTACACTTGGACATACTTTTCTCTTTATTAGCCCGCAACAATTGCCAGAGTTCTTTTTGGTGCCAGCACAACAGTAAACACATCCTCAGATGTGGATATTTAGATCTTTCAGAGGCTCTGTATATGAAAAAGGTGGTCATTCTACCAAAAGTACTCGTGTATATACTTCAGATTGCTGCTGATTTTAAATAATCATTATTTTTTGCCATGCTGGGAGTCAAATACAGGTGCTCACACATGCTAGGCAGTGCTCTACCCTTGAGCTCTCTCTCTTGCCCAATGTCATTCCCTTTGTATCTAAGAAAAACTGCAAGTCTGAGTATCCAAGTTAAAAGAATTACTGATTTTAGATGTTGAAATGCACGCTAATGTAACATGAAAGAGAAAAGGACTTTCAACCATTTCTACCTGTGATTTTTTTTGTTGATGTTCCAGTTAGCTTGTCCCTATTAAGCAAATACTTGCTGGCTGATTTAGAGAATGGTGCACCAGAATGGGAATTTTTTTTTTTTTAATCTCAGCAGAAAAAGACAAGTGATCTGTTTGGTACAAAGTGTGTTGTCAGTAAAAATCTCCTACTAGGTTTGGAGAGAAATGAATATTCTAATAGCATTATTACATTTAAATCCTGGTGAAATCTTGGATGAAAAAGTCTTTAAACATGAAGTGTAGGGTAAAAGAGCCTCTCGTTGAGCTCTAAGGCAAATTTGCTGTGAATTTAGAATCATGATGTATTCATAGCAGTTTTCCCCTGTGTCTCACTGCTACCAAAGCTGGCAGAGAAACATTGTTAAAGTCTAAATGATAAACTTCTTGGGGAATGACTTAGTTTGTTAATACTGAAGGATCTTGAGAAATTTTATAACTCGCCTTGTGCTCAGAATCATGCCTGTCCCTGTTGAATAACATACATTGTACGTGTGCCAGCCCTATTGGTTAATGCATGTACCTCGGCTCGGTCTCCATTACTCAAGCCTGCTTGGGCAGATTTCATTTTTATATCTTATTTGTGAGATATGTGCAATAATAGCTACTTTGTGGAAATGCCTGGAGCTTTTTTTTTTTTTTTGTAACTGGGAATTGAACTCAGGACCTTATACTTTCCAGGGAGGCACTGTGCCGCTAAGCTATATCTGACCCCTTGAAAATTAAAGGGAAAAAAAAATGTGTATATAAAGTTTTACTCTCATTGTAACTGGTAAATAAATGTCAGTACCATTTTCCTTTCCCAGAACCAATCTATTTTGGAAAGAATTGAAAAAAGCATGACAGGCAATACTAACGTCATTTTTGAAAGAAAAGTCTACATCTGAAATATTAACATCCAGAGGCTGGTTGTCCACTGGCACCTGGAAGATGGCACAGAAGCTGTCCCAGCCTGGTCCCTCCTCCCAAGTGCAGAACTGACATGCCAGAAATATTACCATAGTGTCTGATGTAGATATCTTCTTGGCTATGTTGAGACTGGAAATTTCCACATTCCTGCTTTTTGGTAGTAATAAAAAAGCTTTACTTTGCAAATACTGTTAAGATACCCAAATTTTAAAAAATATTTACTCCACTGTGCTGACAATGGTTTGCTAACCACGTATTTTTACACAGAGTCAATTTTGCATGATTTGTTTCTATAGAATTTTGTTTTGTTTCAGATAGAAGCAAATCAAGTAAAAAGAAATGGGCTTTACTTAAAAATAATTGAGATTCTTTTTTTACCACTTAAGCTAACGCTGCTGATTCTGACGATTATCCTGATAATTCTCTTTATATATTTATTCTTCTATGGGCTCATCTATCATTTGTACTTTTAAATCATACTGGATTGTACTTTGTTTTAATAATTAGTAATTATTTTCCCATATTGTGATAGTCATAATAAAGTCTTGGTAATTAGTTGTCTGATTCTTTCTTATGTATGAAAACCTTTGGATATAGTAAATCTAAGTGAGAATCTTACTGGTTAGTGTGTGTTTATTTCCTTTGATAAATGCATTTTTATCATGATAAATATATGCGTCACCTTAGGACTGTAATAACAGAATTACCTTTGGTTTGACAGAATCATGCAGACATTTGTTACACAGCAGTGGAAACAGAGCAAAGAAAAGTCCAGCTGCCTGCACAATAAGAAGCTGTCAGAAAAGAAAGTGAAGTCCCCCCTGCATTTGTTTTCTACCTTGCGCAGGTTGGTACACATGACTTCCCCATTGTCTTGATGAGCTCCAGTCCACTGTAAGTAAGTTTAGAGCATCCTATAGTCTTGGCATTTGTTTGTTTGTTTGTTTGAGACAAAGTCTATTTTGGCCAAGGCTGGTCATGAACTCATGTTGATCCTCCTGCCTCAGCTTTCCAAGTACTAGGATTACATACATGTATTACTACACCCAACCTGTTTATTTTCTTTATAACTTTAGACTAAATTCCATATATTTTATCAGAAACATAATCATTCATTTCTGTAGTTTTTATTTATTTAGCATCTGTTCAGTTTACTAAAACTGTATTTGCTTTTGGCTTGTCTAGAGTTCCAGAGCGGTTAGTTTCATATAGAGCCCTGGAAAGTGGCCGTGGTGGTGGTGGGGCTTAGAGTCTTCTGTTTTTCAGGAACATGGGATTTTATTCCTGGGATCTTTCTACACATGTGCTTGATTTTCACGTTGCCTGGGTAGGCTGTATTTAAGTGAGATGGTAACACATGCGCTCTGCAGTTGAGACTGAGCGTGACAAGTGTTCTCTGTAGTCTGTTAGACTCATCCTTTGCCCCGTATTAATTCTTGTTCCATTTATAAGGTCGCCAAGTTATCCTCCCCCTGGCTGTGGGAAAAGCAAATCCAAACTGAAATCTGAGCAAGATGGCATCTCCAAAACGCATAAGCTGCTGCGCAGGACTTGTTCCAGCACGGTCAAGGCGGATGACGTGTGCTCCGCCAAGTCTCATAGGACCTTTGGTCGCTCCCTGTCCAGCGATCCCAGAGCTGAGCAGGCGATGACAACAATTAAATCGCACAAACTCTTGAGCCGTCCCTGCCCTGCTGCTGTTAAGCAAGAGGATTGCCTCACTCTGAAGTCACATAAACTATTGACTCGATCTTGCTCTGGAGACCCGAGATGCGAGCACACCGCCAACTTGAAGCCCCACAAACTGTTAAGCAGGTCTTACTCCAGCAACCTTAGAATGGAGGAGCTGTACGGACTGAAGAGTCACAAACTGCTCAGCAAGTCTTACTCCAGCGCCCCAAAGGCATCCAAAACCGAGCTTTTCAAGGAACCTACTGCGGAAGGCAGGAGGCTCTCTCTTACCTCAGGGCTTATTGGTATCTTAACACCATCCTCATCTTCATCTTCCCAGCCTGCTGTGCGTAAATATTTTCACCTTGAGTTCTTACCCAAATTTTAAAAAAATATTAAAAAATATGTTTATATTAAATTAAAATATATTAAAATAATTTAAAAAATTAAAATTTTAGCTAAGGAGTAGTGGAGTTTCATTGTTCACCTAAGAGTTAGTGGAGGAAAGAACTAAGATGGGTGTTGTTTTTTATATTTGCTATTTTTTCTTTTTGGATGCTTTTGTGTATCAGGCATTTGCAGTTGTTGCACTGAATGTTAGTTCTGATTCTTAAAAAAATGCAGTTATTGGTTTAAGTTCCAGTGCAAATTTTTGTCATGGTATTGAATGTTACTAAAAACAGAAGGAAACCCATTGGATGCACAAAACATTCCTTTTAAGCTCTAAGTTAATGTTTTGTTAAGTAGGTATATCTGATCTCTGGTTTTTATTTTTTTGTACGGGGAATTGAACTCAGGACCTTGTGCTTGCCAGGCAAGCACGTATGTCACTGAGCTATATCCTCAGCCCTCTAATCTTTGTTTTTTTTTTTTTTTTTTTTTATTCACATGAATTATGGAGGACCATGTTTGTTCTAGAACTAAATTAAGAGTAATCTCCCTGAAGTTAGGAGAACTTTGCCAATAAATATTGAGACTGGTAGAAGCGATGTTGAAGAGATAGCCCAGCGCCACCCTTGAATTTGCCTCTCGGGTCCGTATTATGCTGAACCTGGAGCCAGGAGATAACTGTAGTAATAATTTAAGATTTTTGTATGGTATTATTTTACACAAAATTCACCTTTAGAGTAGTTTATGTTTTCTGAATTGTGTGTGTGTGTGTGTTGGGAAGTGCATATTTAACTGTAAGTCATCGATGTGAATACACCCAACCATAGATAAAATTGACAAAAAATAAAATACTGTTTTCAGGAAGTTACTCCTGATGTAGATTTAGTTTTGAAACTAAATTGTACGTTATGCCGTAAGACTGTATTTTATGAAAACTTGAGCATGATGGCAACTTTATGTGAGCATCCTAAAGGCCCATTCTTATTTTAAGGTAAGATTTCCGGTCATGGAGAAAAGAGTGTCAAACAGTTACACAGTGGAGTGTTTCCCATGATAGTTTTGCCCAAGAAAGATAATTTCACATAGTCTATGAAGGAAAATCTCTATAGTGTCCTGTATGTCTAAGCATAAGTGTATTATGCTTAGGGTTGAGCCACTTTTAGTAGCTCCATAATTTTCCCTTGGAGGAGTAATCGTATCACTTTTTTAAAAAGGTTGAAATACTCTGATGAGTAGGTATGAGCATTTGCTGATGAGTAATAGTCGAGGCCAGTCATTTGAACTAGAAGCTCAGCAATTAAGAACGCTAATCATTTAATTTTGGGAAAAATTGTAATAGTAATGCAAAAAGGGCATTAAAACTAGCTGAGTAAAGAAATTCTAACATCTTGATAGTATAGTGGCTTAATAGTTCATATGATCTTAGAACAATCACTTCTGTATTCAGTATTATTTTATCGTGCATTTGCCCAATTAAAATGCTCTTACTCTTTTACTTTACCTTTTATAGCCTAATGGTGCAAAATGCATTCCAACACGAGACCGAGGCTTCCTTGTGCAGGTAAGAGATGAGACTATCCATTGTAGAAATAGTTTCGTCCTTACTAGGCTTTCAGCTCGTTTATGAGTTTGACTGAATTATTTGTCTTTATCGTTTTATTCAGACAATTGAGTTTGCCGAACAGCGGATCCCTGTACTGAATGAGTACTGTGTGGTTTGTGATGAGCCACATGTGTTTCAAAATGGCCCCATGCTTAGGGTAAGTTCTTGTTGCTGGAATCACTTAGAATATATGTGAAAGTGTTAAAACATGAAGTGTAAATGAATACAGTTTAAAGTAAATATTGGGCAAATGATTTAAGTAACTAACTGGCATAATTTGGGTAAAAATATTCCTCCTGAAGGGATCTGTGGAATAGGTGGTTGGTGCTAGCAAACATTTCTTACTGCATTTCTTGCATGTCACTACATTACACTGTACCTATGTTGACCACAAATTGTGGAGTTTTAAGAAATACTGCTTAAAAGGGGAAATGCTAAGGATGCTTGTACAGTGTTTATTTAAAACTCTACAATTTAAAATGCATAATATAAGTAGGAGAGTATAGACCTATGCTAGTTAGAAGAAGGATACTATAGCACTGGGAGAATCCTAAGAAAGATTTCCAAACATGCTAAATTCCTGATACACTTGGGACATTGTCAAGAATATATGGAAATAAGCATCAGTGTGTATAATACAGTTTGGGGGAAATCATTCAGCTTCAAAAGTTGCCTTCTTTTGGTCATTTCTTATGGAAAGGTTCATATTACATTGAAATCACGAAAGTATACAGTCAAATGACATTTTGGTTTAAATATAAAATGTGCCCCAAAATTCTCATGTGTTCAGAGGCGAGACTTTTGGAAAGTGATTGATCCTGGGCTGCTGCACTCAGTGGATTATCCCGTTCACTAATTCAGTTCATAGCTGAAATGCTGTTAGTGGGTGAGGTCTGGTAGGAAGAGGGAGGCCACTGGGGACGTGACCTAAGCGCGTGTTCTTGTCCCTGGCTCCTGCCTTCTAGCTCTGTTTTGTGGTTGCTGGGGGCTGAGAGTAGCTGTCCTCTGCAAGGCCCTTGTAGTCAGCCGTGGACTGAATTCTCTGAAGCCCTGAGCAAAGATAAATCTCTCCTTCTCCAAATGTATTGTCCCAGGAATGGAAAATCTGACTCATGCAAACTAATTCCATAGCATTTCTGTTATCCTCAAGAGAAACTGCATAACACTTTCTGTCTTTTCTCATGCCCTAGCAACCACTAATACATTTTCTGGCTCTACAGATTTCACGTTCTGGACACTGATCACCCAAATGTAACGTGTGACCATTTATTTTTTTGACTTAGATAATATTTTCAAGTTTTATCCCTGTAGCATGTATTTTATTCTTTTTTATGACACTATAGTCCATTTTATGGCTGTACCACATTTGATTATTCACTGTTAGTTGATGGGATATTTGTTAACTCTGTTTAACTTTTTAAGGAAAGGCCAAATTCTTCCGTAACAGTTGTACCATTTTACATTCCCAGTGGAAAGGTATGATAGCATCAGTTTCTGTACATTCCTATTATTGTTTCTCTCGTTTGAAAATTCTTACCATCCTATCGCGCATGAAGTGGTAGCTCATTGTGGTTTTGATAGGCACTTCCCTAGTGACAGATGACTTTGAACATGTTTCCATGTACTTATTTTTAGAGAAGTGTGTTCAAATCTTTCATTTTTAGTTTTGTTGTTTATATGTTTTTATTGTTGAGTTTCTTTAATATATTCTGAATACTAGATCCTTATTTCTGGCTCCTTATCATATATATGATTTGAAAATACTTTGTCCTCTTATGTGGGTTGTCCTTTCATTTTCTTTTTTTTTTTCCAATGTGATTTCAAAACTTTATTAATACTTTGCATTGACAAATAATTGTGTTACATTTATTTCTTATATTACATTTATGGAATACAACATGTATTTTAATACATGTATACAGTGTGGAACGACTGGATCAAACCGACATCCTTCTCTTTCTTACCTGATTTTTTTGCGGTGAGATGCACAAAGTACACTTTCTTGTTACGATTTTATTTTTTGCCATTCTGGTGAGTGTCTGGTGACATCCCGTTGTGTCTTACTTTGCATTTCTTTGATGAGGAATGGTGTTGAACACACTTCACTTGCTTATTGGCTACCTGGCGATCTTCTCTAGCAAAGTGCTTAATCTCCTGCCATCTAATTTATCTGCTGTGTCATAACTTGAGGGATTCCTTGTACTTTTTGCATGTCTCCTTCCTTAGGTGCACAGGCTGATCTCCTGCGGTCTACTTCTTGCTTCTGTTTTCCTTCAGAGCATCATTTCATCATCATGCTTTGTGCTTTTGACATAACCTTTTGTGTTCAGTTTCTTTTGTGCAGTAAGTCATGACTGACAAACTAAAGACAGTGACAGTAATCTATGCTTTCTCCTAGAATTCTGATCTTCTTCTAAACTCACTGCACTCCCAGGTGGTCTGGTAATAGCTCACTAAGAGTAACACAAATGGTGGTCACAAGAACAGTAATAGGTAATATTAACTGAGCTGACACAGTATTCCAGGTACTGTGTCAAGGAGTTTACACGTACCATATATTTAATTTCCACAACAGCAATCTTAGGTAGATTTGATTATCTCTATGTACAAACGGTGCACATAATGAACATTTCGCAGTACAGATGGTTTCAAGTTGTAGATGTTTCACCTTACAATTTTTCAATTTTATGATGGTGCAAAAGTGAACCCACACAACCACTAATTTCTGATCTTTATAATGGTGCGAAAGCAGACCTGATACAATCCCTGACTTCTGAATTTTAGGCTGGTGTGAAAGTATAAACCATGCAGCCACTAGTTTCTGAACTGTAGGATGGTGCAAAAGTGGACCCAATACAAGCAGTGATTTCTGAACTCATGATGGTGTGAAAGTGTAACCATATAGCCACTAGTTTTCACTGTTGATAAAATATTCAATAAATTTCATGGGACATCCAGCACTTATAGACTTTTAGACGATTTTGCCCAATTTAGGCTCATGGGAGAAATTTTGAGCCCTTTTAAGCTATACTGGGCTAGCCTCCATGTTTGGTTGGTCGAGTGTACTAAGTGCATTTTTGAATGGTATTTTCAGCTTGAGATGGGCTTATTGGGATGTCGCCCTACTGTATGTTGAGGTGCATCTGCAGTGCACAGGGTAACAGGAAGTATGAGGGCGTGTCTCCCAGGAGGTAAAGAGACAGGATGCTGCTGGTTCTTCGTGGAGTGTGTGCCATGATTAAAGGCTTCCCCTTGTATTATTTAGCTGAGTTATTCCTAGAATGTAGTAAAGTTGAAATGTAGTAAAGATGAAATGAAGAAAAAAACATGGAGTGGTACTGCTAGACTTCGATGACTTAATGCACCAGCCTATCTGGTAAAAGAACATGTTGTAATCATAAGGAAAAGTACCTTCTCCATGGTCACATGTGCCTCTCATGTTACTGGTGATGTTGTAAGTGTGGGAATGACCAGGGAAGGCTTTTCTGTGTTACATTAATCGTGACTGTTCCTCACAGCGAGGAAGGGACAAGTGCAGGATAGAAGCTTCGGTACATGCCTTGTTTTCAAAAGGCTTCTAACTCTCATGAACCCTCAGGTGTCCTTTCAGGTGGGCATGCTAACACACCTCCCCACACTCCTCACACACGTGAGCTTTCGCGCGTAAGTTTTCTGGTGCTGGGTGAGCTGGTGGCAGTGTGAAGGCCTTCCCGCAGTCTTTGCACTCGTGGGGCTTCTCCCCGGTGTGGATGTGTTCGTGCTTCACCAGGCTCAACCTGTAAATGAAGGCCTTGCTGCACTGGGTGCATTTGTACGGCTGCTCCCTGGTGTGGATCTTCTGGTGCTGAGTGAGACAGCTCACGTGCGTGAAACCTCCCACACTCCTGACACTGAAAAGGCTTCTCCCCGTGTGGATTCTCTTGTGAATGGGTTGGAGCCCCAGCGGAAGGCCTTGCCACAGCGCAGTCCTCACACTCATAGGACTTCTCCCCTTTGAGGATCTTCTGGTGCTGGCTCAGCTGGTAGCTGCGGCTGAAGAACTTCCCTCACTCTGCTCTCTCCAGCCGGAGCTTCCTCGCGGGAGTTGGCTGCCACCTGTTTGGGGTCCCCTTCTCGGCTCAAGTTCCCCTCTGGGCTGAGATTCTCTTCAGCTGGAGTCTCCATTTTGGCTAAGAGTCCTGTTCTGGTCCTGGCCTAGACTCCCCTCTCTAGAGCCTTGGGGTCTTTCAGACTCACTTTCACACATCCCATTAGCTGGACAAGATTTGCTTCTGATCTGTGCATCCCTTCTGTGAAGATTCATTTTATGAATGCTCTTTTCTGTAGCTGAATTCTTATCTATAGGTGCTGGCTCCAAATACAGGGAGACCAGGTTGCTGTAGTTCTCCAGCATCACATCCCCATACAGGGCCCGCTGGGCAGGGTCCAGGCATGCCCACTCCTCCTGGGAGAATTCCGTGGCCACGTCTGAGAACATCACCATACCGTGGGCTACAGTCTCAGCTCTCGTGACTGGATTTATCATCTTGGCATTTCCTCCAAGCCTTAACTTTAAGATGTATAATGGGTCTTCCTCCTGAGAGTGCTTTCTCTTTAGCTGGCCTGAACTCAACATTAACACAGGAACAGTTTGGCCCCCTAGGTCTGCTTTCTCTGGACAGCCTTTGAAAACCGCCAGCATCTTCAAAACAAGTTGAGTCTGAGAAGGAGCCACAGCTAGGCAGAGTCTGTGGACTTCTGACAGCAGAGTATCGTGCGGCACCCTGGAAAAGATCTTGGGAGGCTGAGGCAGGAGGATCTCACTCTTGAAACCACCTTGGGTAGCTCAGTGAGTCTCTGAGCCTTGACTTTAAGGTGTGTAATGGACCTTCCTCCTGAGGGTGTTTTCTCTTCAACTGGCCTGCATCACAGCTGTGGTGACAGAGTCCATGTACATTGCCCCACAGGTCTATCTTTGTGGCCCGCAGAGCGCACATACATCCCATACAATGTCGCAGCTGCATCACAGGTATAGATGCTCACCTGACCCATTCCCATAGACACCAGCGTCCACTCACACAGTAGTACCATGGTTACCGAGACACAAGATGGTCACTGCACCCCCTTTCATTTTCTTGAGAGTGGTTTTTGACACAGAAAAGTTTTAAATACTGATGA